TTGCCTTCCAGCTACAGCGAGGGGTCTGTTTTAGGGGAGGAAGGTGAGATTTTGGATTTGGAATTATCGGGTGATGAAGATCTGGTTCAGGATAAAGTTCCTTCTCAGGCCTTTTCAAACAAGCCCTATTCAAATCTCTTCTTTACAAAGCCAAGGCCACCTCCAATTTGCGGGGAGAAACCACCCAGGCCAGTATTGAGGTGGGCCTTGATCCCACGAAGCACTTGTTCACTGAACAAATACAAGCACAAGAGGCTATTCCATCACCCAAATTGTTTCTGGACGTAATCCAAAAACAATGGTCCCAGCCCACTGCAGTCTCGCCCACTAGCAATGGTGATAGAAAGCTTTATGCTTCCACTCCGGAATTGGACACCATTTTGCAGTTTCTCACTGTTTCCCACCCGCTGATAGCGGCCTTGGCTTCCCCGGCCCTCATTCCATCTGAGATTTCGGAGGGATTGAAGGCTGAGGACTGCAAGCCGGAGCTCGTTATTTGCAAAATGCTCCAGGCGGCTCCCTGGGCATTGGGTGCCGCTACGGTGGCCTCGTTCTTCAATAGAACTTCCTTAGTTTGGTTAAGACAACTACAGGAAAGGTTTGGTCCAGAGTACTTGCGCCTTTATCAGGATGTGGTCAAACTGGTGGCGACCTTAGAATTCTCTTCGGATGCCACGCTCAATGCGGCCAAGTTTGCGTCCTGAGCTGTGGCATCCAACATAGCTTCTCGTCGCCTGTTATGGCTATGCTATTGGCAGGCGGACATACGATCCAAATGGCGCCTTGTCTCCACCCCCTTCAAGGACGGTTCCCTATTCGGAGCAGCGCTGGATCCTATACTGATTGAAATGAGGGACAAGCGAAAGGTACTTCCTTCGACCGCTAGGCGCACGGATCGGAGGCAACACAGGCAGCCCTTTCGTATTGGGGAGTCAGGGTACTCCTCCCGCCCCTACACCCCTCTATCTAATAGATTCTTTTCTCAGTCCCAGGACAGGTTTCAGGACAGAGCCAATACTAGGGACAGAAGTAGGAACCAGCAACAGGCCCAGACTCGGCGGCCCTTTCATGGCGCCAAAAACTGGTCCTTTTGTAGGTACCAGTGACTCGCTCGAGGTTGGCCCTATTGGCGGGCGCTTAACCACCTTCATCCGCCAATGGAAAACCACAACCTCAGACCCCTGGGCTCTTCAGACCGTGAGGCTGGGCCTCACTCTGGAGTTCCTGGCCATTCCCATGAGACGTTTCATCAAATGCCCAGTGCCCAGGTGCCAAGTAAAGCGGCGCCTGATGGACACGGAAATCCAGCATCTCATTTCCATCAGAGCAATAGAAAAGGTGCCAAGGGGGCAGGAGGGTCTAGGTTTCTACTCAATATTCTTCCTAGTTCCCAAGGCCTCGGGAGGATGGCAGGCTCAATTTCTACCTCAAGTACCAAAAATTCAAAATGCAATCAAGAGTATTCTAGTGAGCATTCACCAAGGCAATCTCCTCACCTCCATCGACATCAAGGAGGCATACTTACATGTGCCAATACATCCGGCCCATCGAAGATTTCTGCGCTTCCACTTCGCGGGGCGTCATTTCCAGTACCGTGCCTTACCATTCGGCCTATCATCGGCCCCGTGGATCTTCACCAAACTGCTAGCAGTGATCGCAGCCTCCCTGAGGTCAGTTCCCGTAAGAGTCAATTGTTATCTAGACAACATCTTAGTCTTATCGTCTTCCCGGGCCCAGGCTTGTCGCGATCTACAGCTGACGATCGACACCCTGCAGGATCACGGATTTGTACTGAACTTTCCAAAGAGCCACCTGCACCCGACCACGTCTCTTCTGCATCTCGGGACGGTCATCACTTCGGAGACTTGGATGGTGTCTCTCTCAAGAAAGAGACAGCAGAGCCTGTGGTCCCTGGTGAGTCAAGTGCTCAATCAGAGGTCACCTTCCCTCGTGACATTGTCCCAACTTCTAGGGAAGATATCTTGCATAGATGTTGTTCCTTGGGCAAGGTTTCATGCACGACCACTGCAGTGGTATCTCCTCCCATTCCAAAGGTCTCACACCGGTCACTCTCAGGCCAGGGGTTGCTTACCGACCAAGGTGTCTCTGTCGCTCCGTTGGTGGATGTCGTCCCGCACCCTCAAGGGATGCCTCTTCAAGGAACTGGAGCAGATTGTTGTTACAACAGATGTGAGCCAATTCGGGTTGGGGGGCCATGCCCTGAACCGATTGATGCAGGGTCGTTGGACTGTCCAGGAGCTGAGCAACAGCATCAATTGGCTGGAGCTATGGGCTATCTGCCTAGCCCTCCGAGAGTTTCGAGACCTGGTCACATCCAACCATGTGTTGATACTCACCAACAACGTGACCTCCAAGGTGCATGTCAACTGCCAAGGGGGCATGAGGTCCAAATCCCTGATGATAGAAGCAGAACATCTGCACTACTGGGCGGAGAACCATCTGTTGTCAGTCCGAGCGGAACACATATCGGGCACTGTGAACGTCCAAGCAGACTGGTTGAGCAGGGCCACGGTGGATCAGGCGAAGTGGCGCTTGCACCCAGCCTGTTCCGAGAACTGTCCCACTGTTTCGGTCACCCGCTGGTGGACCTGTTCACTCAACCCGACAACACACACCTGCTGTGATTTTACTCCAGGTACCAGGGGCAGAAGACACCGACGCCCTCCGCAACCCTTGGCTGGAGAGCCTCCTTTATGCCTTCCCGCCTCTGCCAATTGTGCAGCTGGTCATCCAGAAGATTCTGGCAGAATGGGTGGAGGTGCTGCTGGTCGCACTGATGTGGCCACAGCGCCCCTGGTATGCGGGCGTCTGTCCATCTCACGCCCATGGAGAATTCCAGACTCCCAAGAAGCTCTCGTCCACCTGAATCTTCAGCTGTTACAGTTAGCCATCTAGCACGTGAGCGGGCAATCCTGAGTCAGCAGCATTTTTCTGATAAGGTCATCTCCATGATCCAGGCAGCTCACCACCCATCAACAACCCACATCTACAAGACTACCTGCCACGCCTTCTGCAGATGGTACTGAGCAACATGTGCGGACCCAACCGGGGCAACCATACCACAGGTATTGGACTTCCTACAGATGGGCATGGACAAAGGGCTAACACCTAACACGCTTCCCCGTCAAATTGGAGCTGTCTACTGTAAGTGGCAGTGGGCGGGGCCACCCGCTATCTCAACACCCGAGGGTGCGGGCCTTCCTGAAGGAGCAGCGAACCTTAGTCAGCCTATCGTTCATCGCTACCCCACCTGGGACCACTCCCTAGTACTCAATGCCCTTACAGCGGTTCCATTCGAGCCTATTTGGACCATCTCCCTCAGGTTACTGACTCTTAAGATTATCTTTTTAGTAGCCATCACATGGGCCAGGAGTGTGTCCGAGTTGGTAGCACTCTCCGTCCAGGATGACCTCTGCATTTTCCATCCGAGCAGGGTTGTACTACGTTTGGACCCAACCTTTCTTCCAAAAGTCAACTCGTAGTTCCACAGGTCACAAGAGATCACTCTCCCAGATTTCTGTCCATGGCCATCTCACCCCCGAGAACGGCGTTGGCATCATCTTGATGTTCGTCGTTCACTTCGCCACTATGTGTGACACACAGCGTCGTTCAGAAGGACGGAGGCCCTGTTCGTGTCTTTCTAACCTGCCACCATGGGCCAAAAGGCATCATCGCATACCATTGGCCGCTGGTTGAAGGCGTGTATTGCCCTCGCCTACGACTGTCAGTCCCGGCCGGTTCCCAGTCACATCACTCCCCATTGTACCAGGAGTGCTGCCACGATGGCGGCCTGGATTTGCAGGGCAGCGACCTGGTCATCGCTGTCACCCTTTATCAGCCACTACAAGGTGGACATTTATGCCTCGGCTGAGGCATCCTTTGGACGGCGCGTGCTGCAAAGGGTAGATTCTTCGGCTGAAATCTATTGCTTTGGCATGTCCCATGCTTGGATTCCCCAAGCAGCGCACAGGGGAACGACCGTTGACTTATCTGAACGGTCCTTCTATGTGCGCTGGGAGGGGACTCCAAACCCGCCCTTGGTTTCAGCTGTTCTCGGCCTGGACTTCCATGTTTTCCTATGACATACTGACACCTTGACTTCTAGTCCAGTCAGAGGAGGCGTGGCCATCAATTTGCATAACTCAGTCTCTAGGCTAATGGACAAAGTTAACCCATGCTTGGATTACCCTCGCAGCGCAACGGTCGTTCTTCGCTTGAAGCAGTTACTCTATAGTCTGTTGTAGCCATTGCTTCCTGGTCAGCATACAAATTCTCTAGTTTGCAAATGAGGTGATCCAGTGCACCCATCATTTTAAGACCTGTAGCCCATGTGGTCTACATAGAGTGAAAAGTCATAGAATAATCACAATCAGTGGAACTCTTGCTATTTACTTACTAAGTACTTACTAATATTGACTCAGCCTTCCATTCTTCCAAGGTCAGTAAAACGAGGAGCCAGACTGTTGGGGGCCATAGGCTGACCATGTAAACAGCTTAGAGAGGGCTGTAGAGTGGTATATAAGTGCTCTTGCTATTTTCTTATCCGTTGGACTTGTGGAGAAAGTGACCTTGGTGCGTCTTTCTCTGGAAACCACTCAGATATTGGAAGACTGCTCCCATGTTGCCCCTAACCCTTCTCTTAGTTAGATGAGGCATTCTCAGTCCCTGCTCCCAATTTCTCACACTTATTTGTAGGGATTAAATGCTTCTTTGAATATTTTGAATTGCTTCCCCACAAACCTCTTCCCACCTGACCCAACTGTTGTTCATTAGATTAGCTGTCCTGTGTCTCGCCCACTTTTCCTTCCCCGTTTCCCCATAATCGCCAGCAGTGCCTCAGCTCGGTAGACCTGTGCAGTTGACTGGATTGTGCTTGTTCCTTCTAGATGCTCTCCACAGTGTTGAATATCATCATATTTGAAGACTGCAGGAACCAGTGGTCCATGTCCCGGCCTCTGCTTGGCTTGATACTTCTCAATGAAAAGGTAAGGCGTAGTAGATTGGGGCGTAGTGTTACTTGTGGGCTGGCACATTATCCTGGGTAGCTTACAGTGTGAACTTTTCCTTTGCAGTATTTTTCAGATTTAAGGAATAGCATAGTAAACAGCCAGCCCCCCGAGAAGCAACAGGCTATGCACCTCTGCTTTGAAAATCTCATGGAAGGCATTGAGCGCAATTTGCTGACAAAGAATCGTGATAGGTCAGTATCTTCACAAAATGCAGCCAGCAGACCAGCCGAAGTCCAACGTTCTTATTAGTTTCATTCTGAAGACATACCACCGTGGGATCGCTTAGCACCCAAACTCCAGGAGAGAGAGGGGGGTTGCCCAGTAGGACCAGGACCAGGCGCAGCCTGTCAGGGTGGCTCCACCATCTCTTCTGACCCACTGCGAGAAATACTGTGCAGAGGGTGCAGATCCTCTCTCAAAAGGATAAAAGGCCGCCACCCAAATATGGTTCTCTGGCTCAGAGGATCATCCTCTCCTTTGAGTAGCCCACCCAGCCTGGTGCAGCCATTCCCCATAACTTTTCCCACTCAGAAGAAGACAAGAAATGTCACTGCCCCCCAGTTGAATCCTGCAGGAGAGTTATCCTTTCAGAAGCCTTCGCTCTCTGGGGCGAAGAAAACCATTTGGTTTCTTTCCAAAGTTATAAAAGTAGCTTACCACGTTGCTTGTGTTCAAAACCCATTTCCAAGAAAACGGAAAAATGGGGAGCAGCTGAAGGAATATCAGGTTTGCCCCTCATTTGCAGCCATGTTTTCAAAGCTGTAATTCAGAGCCTGAGAAAACTCTGCTTTTGCCCAAAGTTGGATTGGGCCGATTCTCATGCGATTCCCCCCGAGAATGAGCACAGCTCCGTCCGATGCCATCCAGCTGTTGGGCCAAAAGGCCAGTCTGTCTGCCCCCATCCTAACACTGGTTTCTTTTGCCAGGTTTACACAGAATCTTTCTGCATTTCGTCGAGAAGTGAACGATTCCATGAAAAATTCCACCTATGGGGTAAACAGCAACGACATGATGAGCTGACGTCTCGCCAGGAGCTGCTCTCTGGGCCGAGGAGGTTAACTTTTCCGATGGAAAGACACAAGGGTGTTTCCGATCCCTGCTAGTCCTCCTTGGGGCTTAGGCTGCAGGAAGGGAGGGGGGCGTAAAAGGTTCATTCGGCGAGGGTTTTTTTCCTCGGGGAAGCCCAACTGGCACCTCCCTACGTGAATGTCAGAGGAACCCTGTGTCCTGCCACAGCCTGCCTTGTATAAACATGTACATTTTTTCATAACATTTTGAACAAGGTTTATATTGACTCAAGTTTAAAAAAAAGTGTGACTGAAATTTTTACATAGTGCACCAATGCTAGAGCAAGGGTGGGGTGCGAGTGAAGAGTCTCCCAGCTACCTGCCACATGACTGGGCAAGCGGGGTGGGGGTGGGGGAGGGTTGAGAGTACAGAGTTATATTTAGTAACTAGTGTAGAGGCACAAGTGTAAAATTCCAAATGTATATTTTTCTTATCTACCCCTTCAACTTAGGCCGTCCCTCCTCACCTTCCCTCATTAGGAGCTCAAAGCCATGCCCCATTCCTGCCCTTCCTACACACACACACACACTATCTTGGGAGATGGGAGGACTAGGCTCTCTGGCGGGAGCAGCAGCAGCCTCATTGCGCTCCTGTTCACAGAGCCTCTTCTAGCTCTGGGAACGGTGGGCAGCTCCTCTCCCACAAAGTGCCCCCTCCAGACAAATTTCTCTCCCACTACAGTGATGGGGACCTTTGTTTGATATTAAATTGAGGGGAAAGAAGAGGGGAGGGGGATTTCCCTTGTCCCCACCCGGCCCTTTTGCTGCTAGTTTTGTGTCCCCCAAGCCCAGGTCAAATTGTAACCCTGGTTTCTCTTCTCAAACAGCATCCCTTGGTTGGGGGGAGGAGAGAATCATTTCCTCTGGCGATTGTGTGCTGGGTCCTTTTTCTGTGACCAGGTTGCTGAATGATTTGTACCGATGTTTGCTGCATACAGTGTAAGCATTGTGGCTGCAAATAAATTAAAGTGGTTTCTACTGAACTGTGTGCACTGAGGCCAGAGCGTTACTCTTCAGGGGGGCAAGAGGCAGGGGCCCCAACGGAGGAGGAGCCCTGCGGGACACAAATGAGGCTCCCTCTTTCCAAAGAAAAACAAAGGGACACCGAGGTTCATCTGGAAGGCTTCATCTTCTTCACTAGCCAAGAGGGAGCCCCCCCCTGCCACAGGCAGCCATACAAAGACAAAGGCAAACTGGAGGAAGGGGGTCACAGGCTTCTCAGCCCTCCCAGCGCCCCTCGGGGGAGAGACGCTGCGCAGGGGCAGCTCCCCAAAGCAGGCCCCTCCTCTCCCCCAACCCATGGCACCCAGCCTCCCCCCCCCCAGTTCTAGGCCACCCACGGGGGGGGGGGACTCCGGATGCCCCACCCCACTTCGCTCGCTTCCCGTCCGGTAGGGCGAGGCTCTCAGCTGGGTCCGGCCAGGTCAGGCTCGGCTTCTGGAGCGCCCGCTCGGCGGTAGACGGCGCCGTTGCAGCCCTCGCGGTTGCGCGCGATCTCGATGGCCAGGAACTGGATGCGCGGCGCTGCGGGGAGGAGGAGGAGAGGCAGGTGACGAGGGGGCATCACGGAAACCCCCCCCCCTCCGCCGAGTCCCTTCCCGCCCGGCGCTCACCCAGCACGGAGTTCTCCTCCGAGTAGCCGCGGCGGCAGTCGAGACGCAGGAGGGTCCCCAGGTTAAAGTCCTCCACCGCCCCCTCGAACTGCAGGCAGAAGGGGCGCCACTTCTGCGGGGGTGGGAGAAGAGGGGGAGGACCGGTGAGACCCACGGCCGGACCCTCCCCGGCGACCCCCCTCCCCTCTGAGGCCCCCCACCTCTTTGGCCGGCTCCGATTTGAGCGCCTCCACGTCCAGCAGGTCGACGCGCAGGTCGGGGAAGCTCCGCCGGAAGGCCGCGTAGATCCGGTCGTCGGCCCGGGTGAGCCTGAGGCCCGCGGGGTCAGCGGCCGAGAGCAGCTGCGAGGCAGCCGGGAGGGTCAGCGGAGGCGCCGGAATCCCAACACCCGCTGCCCGGGACCCCCCTCCCTCCGCTCTGCATCCCCGCCGGGACTCACGTGGAAGTAGACGTGGGCGTGTTGGAAGGCTCGCTCGGCCCAGGCCGCCTCCAGCCGCGGCTTCCGGTGGGAGAGAAAGAGACGGAAGGAGAGCCGTCAGCGCCCAGACCCAGCTGCCGCCCCCCGCCCGCCCCTTCGCCCGCCCGGCACTCACGTCGTTCCCGAAGGCCTCGGCCGGCAGCGAGAGCGCGTGGGCCGCTTCGGCCGCTTCCCGGGCGCCCTGTGCGGGGAGAGGACAGAGAGGCGGTCAGGCGCCCCCGACCGACCGACCGCAGCCCCCCCCCCCCGGACCACCCGCAGCCCCCAGGCCCCGACCGCCCCGCTCACCAGCGCCCCCGCACTCCCCGCCATCGCCATGCCGGCTTGGCAGCTCTCGGGAGGAGGAGGAGGCGCCGGAAGGGGAGCGGCCGCCCGCCCCGCCGAGGCCCCGCCTGCCTGAAACCCCCGGCCCTCTGAGGCCAAAGCGCCGCACCGGCCTCCCGTGGCGGGAGGAAACGAGGCATCCAGGTTGAAGCTCCTCTCGGCGGCCAAGAATAGAGTCTGATGTAAACACTTCCTGGAAGCGGAGCCTCCGGTGGTCCCTGCGGGGCTTGATGATGGGGAGGCAGGAAGAAGCAGGAGAGGCACCCGGGAGAGGGACTCCCCGGGGTCTCCCTTCCCCCTCCAATAGTTCTTCTGTCTCTTCTTGGAAAACTTCAGCCACGGATAACCCTCAACTTCCAGGGCTGACCTGCCCAACTGACTCATTGTTCTGCCTGTTGGAACATTTGTCTGTCCTTCTAGGTCTGCTCTCTCTTTAACAAAGTTCACCTCTTGCCCTCAGGTGCCTTGGAGACTGATTTAATCCCCTCTTCTCTGTGTGAGAGAGAAAGAAGAGCAACTAAGATGATTAAAGGCCTGGAGACTAAAACCTATGAAGAACAGTTACAGGTTTTGGGTTTGGCCAGAGAAAAGAAGGCCTAGTGGGGACATGATAGCAGCATTCCAGTATTTGAGGGGTTGCCACAAAGAAGAGGGGGTGAACCTATTTTCCAAAGCACCAGAGGGCAGGACAAGAAGCAATGGATGGAAACTAATCAAGGAAAGAAGCAACCTGGAATTAAGGAGAAACTTCCTAACGCTGAGGACAAATAACCAGTGGAACTGCTTGCGTTCAGAAATCGTGGGCACTCCAGTACTGGATGTTTTTAAGAAGAGTCTAGGCAGTCACATGTCTGAAATGGCATAGGTTTTCCTACTTGAGCAGTGGGCTGGACTAGAAGAGCTCCAAGGTCCCTTCCAGCTCTATTCTGATTATAGCTCTTCATATGTTTTAGCCTTTCCAGCTCCTAATCATCTAATGCACTGACTTGACCTTCTCGAGCCACTTGAGGTCTGTCAGAAAGAACAAGGCATCTTCAGTAACCTTTTAGAAAACGAAAGGAAAAAACCTCTGGGGTGAAGAAATGCAGTGGACATAGTCCTACCACTTTTGTCCTACCACAGTCCTGCTATAGAGGATGGCAGAAGATGGACCAGGCTGGGTGATATCAGATGACTACAGAACTGACTGACCCATCCTGCCCAAATAGCATCAACAACTCTGTCAAGCTGGATCACTACTCCATATATAGTGTTAAATAATTTGTTTAAAAATAAAAATGAACAAAGTTTCAATGTAAATATGAGGAAAATAGCAAATACCTTAGAGAAGGTAAGGTCATGATTTAGAAGGATATTAACAAGCTGGAGCAATGGGCAGAATTTCCGTGGCACGACATAACTGCGAACGTCAAAAGCGCGCCCACAACAGCGCGCCGACAGAAGCGCGATTTAACAAGGTAAGGTTTAGGGTTAGGGTTAGGTTTAGGGCTATTTTTAGGGTTATGTTACAGCGCGCTTCTGTCGGCGCGCTGTTGTCGCATGGTTTTGACGGTGCGGTTTTGTCACCGCGCTTTAGTCTACCGCGGTTTTGTGGTGGAACCCCGAATTTCAACCAGAACATAGATAAACCCTCCATTTGAGAAGGATAAACCGAAGGTGTGACTTTAGATGCAGAGAATGATCACCCAGGATATGCCTGGACTCATCCCTGCAGTTTCCTTGCCAAGATTTCAGAAGTGGGCTGCCACTGCCTCCTTCCTAGGGCTGAGAGAAGGTGAGTGGCCAAAGTCACCCAGGGGGTTTTGTGCTTAAGGAGGGCAATAGCAGATTATGATCACAGACTCAGAATGAATCAGCTGCAAAAGAAAAAAGTGCATTGACAATAAAGGCATGATCAAAGGAAATTATTGTTCTCCCTGTGCATGTCCCTCCACATATAGAATATGTGTCCAGCACTGGACACTACATATTGAAGGGACACGGACCAACTGGAATGAAAAATGATTGGGGAACTTGGATATATTTATCCTTAAGAGGATCACAAGACAGCTATCTTCAAGAATCTGAAGGGTTGCCATATGGAAGATGGGGCAGAATTATTGTACCAGAAGCCAGGGCAAGAAATAACTTTATTACAGTATAGTATATTTTGTTACATTATCCTTCAGGAAAAGTGTCTTAACATTAAGAGTTGTTCACCAATGCAACAACATTAAGAGTTGTTCACCAATGGGGGGGGGGTGTCTCTCTGCTGTAAGATAGAGTATTTGCATGACCACCTGTCAAAGATGCCTTCATTGTCTCCTCCTTGAATACATTTGGGTTAATGTATATGGAAGAAAGAATGACATTGTCATAAGTATGTACTACAAGCAAACTGAAATGAGCAGAAGGAATAGAGGAACATTTTGCTAAATCAGTGAACTGAAGTGTGCAGGAAACACCACTGAAGTAATGGAGAACTTTAAGTACCCTGACCTCAACAGGGAGACAAACTCTGCATCTAGTGGAAGATCAAACAGGTTCCTTATGAGCCTAGCTGACAACTTTGTCATCCAAAAGGTAGAGGGAACAATTCTTACTAATAAGAGATGAAATAAAGGAAGGGGTTAAAATTGCAGGAACTTTGGGCAAGTGTGATCACATCATATTGGAATTTACTATAATGCAAATGCAAGCAATAGAACACAATCAAACTACAGTGTCTTAAACTTTAAAAGAGCTGATTTTAACAAACTCAAAGGGAGCCTAGGAAAGATTCCAGATTAAAATCCTAAAGGAGAAAACAACTCAAAAAGCATGGGAAACTCCGAAAAATATCACAGAAGCCCAGTCCAGCACAATACCATTGAAAAATAAATACAACAAATGCAAGAAGAAACCAGCATGATTGCACAAAAATCTTTCTGATAAATTGAAAGATAAAAAGGACAAGTATAAAAAAATGGAAAGAGGTGGAATACCAGCATATAACCTCAACCTGCAAAAATGATCAGGAAAACTAAGGCTCAGAATGGGATAAGACTTCAAAAATAATTTTAAAATGTTTCTTTCAACATTAAAAAATAAAAAAGTCAAGGAAACTATCAATCCACTAATGAAAGATGGCAAGGAGAAGATGGACAGCAGGGAGAAAGAAAAACTGTTCAATTCATTCTTTGCCTTTATTCAAAAGGGTGGAAAACAGTCCAATCTTCATCTTTGCTGCAGGTTTGGGCTACATACTGATATTCGGCCATAACTTTTATACTTCTCTTTTTTATCTTTCAGGTTATTAGAAAGCTCTTCATGCAACGATGCTGGTATCTTCCTGCATCTCTTATTTTTCTTTTTCAGTGTTACTGTTCTTTATAATCTCATTTCTCTTTCCCAAGCTTTTGAGGGTTTTTTCCCCTTTAAGGTCCACGGAATCCTACCCAAGCACTATAAATGTATTGAAATCAGCTCTCTTAAAGTCTAAGGCATTGTTTTGATTTTGTTCTATTGCCCGTGGCTGTATTATGTTCAATTCCAGGATGACATGGTCCCTCTCCCCCAAAGTTCAATAACTTCAACTCCTCTTATGGCTTCTTCTCTGTTAGTAAGAATTGGGTCCAGTATATCTGATCCTCTAGTTCCCTTCTCCAACCTTTGGATCACAAAGCTGTCAGCTGGGCTCGCCTGGATCTCCAACTAGAGGCAAACTTTGCCTAACAGGTGATATCAGGGCAGTTCAAGTCCCCGCTGACTATCTGATTTATTTGAGAACCGAGTAAGAGAGTTGGGTGGGAGCTGGGGGTTTTCTGGTCCAGCCCTCCGCACAAGCAGGAGCCCCCGGGCCCTCCTGGCCAAAGGGCTGCCTTATCTCTTCTTGAGAGCCTCCAGGGATAGAGAAAGGCCCATTTCGGGAGAGAAGCCCTTCCAGCCTTCAGGGTTCCCACCGCAGGAAAGTCCTCCTGAGTTCTTGGCTGCTTCTCTCCGGGCTTTGCTTCCCGTCCTGCTTTCGGGCGCTTTGCCTGGATGCCGCTCCGATCTTGCGCCAGCCGTTTCCTGTCTTCGACGTCCCTGGTGGAGGGGACCTTCTGAAGGCGCGAGTTTGGCGGGGAAGCCCCAGGGAGCTCGGGGAAGCCAGGCCACCCTAGCGCAGCCTCCGCTCTCCGGCCCTTCGCTCCCTGCGTCGACGGCGGGGGAGCCAGAAGCGCGGCGGCTGCGGCGGGCGCGGGAGGAAAAGGGCCATCCGCGGCAGGGGCGACCGCCCGGCCGCTGCGCGTTCCCGTCTCCGCCGCCCTCGCGCCCCGAAAAGCGGCCAACGCCCAGACCTCGCCAGGCTCCCGGGCCGGGGGAGCCTCCCTGGGCAGAGCGCCGGATGCCCGCAGGGACCGCTAGCCGCGCCGCAGGCAGGTGGGCCGAGGCGGGCGCGAGAGCGGCGGAGCTTTTCTGGGCGGCGGCCGGCCGGGAGCGGCGCGGAGGGGGGAGGCGCGCGTCCATTGGGGGCCCTGAGCGCCCCCGCCCGCTTCTCAGCCCGCCGCCAATGAGAGGCCGCCGAGGAAGAGGAGGCGGGGGGGGGCGCTCCGGCACAGGTTGCCGTGGGAGACGGAGGGGTGGAGGCGGCATCTCCTCAGCCGCGGAGGTGACGGGCGCAGCGGCGGCGGCGGCGGGGAAGGGATGCTGGCGGCGGGGCGGAAGGGTTTTCCCGGCCGAGGCCCGCGGCTCCTGGGAAGGTAGGCCCGGAGGCGAGGGGGCGGCGGGCACCGGGGGGGGGGCTTGGAGCGCGGACAGCTCCCTCCGAGGGTCTGCGGACACCGGCGCCACTTCGCTGGAGGTCCGGGGCAGCCGGGGCGCTGGGCCCGCGGGGGAGGGAGGGGAGGGAAGGGGAGGTGGGCAGGGGGCAAGGGGCTGCGGTAGGGCAGCGGGGCTGGCCCGGCAGGAGGGCTTGGAAGGTGCGGGGAGGTTCCGGGGGCTTCTGCGGGGCTCTGCGGCCGATGGGCGGGCGGCCCTTCGGGATGCTGGGCGGGGGCGCAGGGGCTGCGGCCGGAGAGAGCCCGCTGCCCGGCCCTCTGCCTCGCCCGGCGCGCCCAGCGCTGCTTCGTCACGGCGCAGCTCGTCTCCCCTCCGCCCAGCCAGGCAGCCCAGGCGCGGAGCCGCAGGGGGCGGGTAGAGGGAGCGGCTCGGCGGGGCGCGCCTTTCGCCCGCTGCCCGCCGCCTCCGTCCCCGCTGTGCTCGGCGCGCTCCAGCGCCCGCCGGTAAGTCGGCCATGGGCAGGATGGGGGGCGGGCGGGCGGCTCTGGAGGGAGGGAAGCGACGCCGCTGCACCTGCCGGCCTGGCCTCTCCCGGGGGAGCAGCCGGGGCTAATGGCGGGTCCGGACAGCCGCGCTCGGGGCCGGCTTTCCCGACGGGCTCCCTGCGGAAACTGCGCAGAGGCAGCTCGGGGGCTTCTCCTCCCTGGGCGGAGGAGGCCGGGTGCCGGGGAAGGTGGGGCGAGGGGCGCTGGGGGAGCCCGGGCCGCCCCTCCTCCTTCGGCTGAAAGGCCTCGGCCGGAGCCGCAACCGGCGCGGGGGAGCAGCGGGCTCGGCCCGGCCCTCGGGCGCGCTTCATGCCGAAGGTGAAGTGGCGGCGGCCGAAGCGGGCATGGGCCTGTGTCTTGCAGCGGGGAGCCGCCTGCCCCGCTGTCCGCTCGGCTCCGGCTCCCGACGCTCCCGGGCTCCGGCTGCTGGGCTCCGGGTCCCTGGGGCTCCTGGTCGGCCCTGCCGCGGGGAGCGCTCCCCGGCTCTGAGTGCGGACATTCCGCGGTGATGCTTCGGCTCGGCTGCCCGTTACCAGGCCCCCCACCAGGGCCTTTGAAGCGAGGCGGCCTTCGAGGAGGGTCGGCTCTCCCCTCCCTCCCACTTGCCTGCTGCCCTCTTTGGGCGACTCGCAGCAGGCAGGAGGGGCGCCGCCTTCCAGGATTCTGCCCCGGCGTCTCTCTCTCTCTCTGGTGGGGGAATGAGGGAATGGGGCCCAGCTTGCCGGTCACCCCATCAGTTCTGTGGACGAATCCAATAGTTTCCCTCTTGCCTTCTGCTTTTCTCTTGGATGGACTGAAAATCTGTAAGGGGGGAAATAAATAGGTAATCACATGTGTGGCCTGGAAGTGGAAATAGATTGTGGTTGTAGACGTTTCAAGCAAAGCATTTAATGACACAACCTGGGCTCAGTGACTGAATTCTAAGCTGCTGGACATTAAGAGTTCTGCCCCAAAATGCTGATCAATGAAACTGGACGGGGGTGTCAGTCCTGGGGCTCCTGCATTTATATTAAGGATGGATGGAGAGACAGAAGAGATATACATTAGATTTTTTTAGAGGAAACAAAAATAGGTCAGATAATTTGAAAACAGCTAGACAGAAATAAATGGAAAACCATCTTGATGGGAAATGAAAACGTGTTGGGTTAAATGAAAATCCAATACGGGATGGAGACTATCTGCCTTGGTGACAGCTTCTTAAATGGTGGATTGCACATGTGAGAGTTACCTGTGTAGCTCTCTTCAAAACTCTTAAAGAAATGCCGAACTCGCTTTGCCTTGTGCTAGACCTGAATGAAAGACGCAGAATAAGTACATTTATGTTACAGAATGAAAGGCTGCAGTGGAATGTCAGGGGAAAATGCCTCCAGGAGAAAACAAAGCCAGTTGCAGCAAAATCTACAGACTGAACTGCTACAGAGCCTTCGGAAATGGGTGTTTCTCTGGTGAAGTTTCTGCCAAAATGACTTGTCACCACTGCACACTTTGTGGCTTATCTGGAAGCAGCTACATGGTGTGCTGAGTCCTGGAGCCAAGCCCAGAGCCCCCCAATGGGGATCCTTCCCTGCAGCCCCTTGTCTGGATCAAGAAAGAAAGATTCCTGCTGAAGGAGGACAGTCCTTATCACCTCTGCCACTTTTGCCATTTATCAGCTCTGGAAGTTTAGGGGGAATAAGTAGTTCCACGAGAGGGAAGATTTGGGAGACAACAGAAGAAAAGAAACTGTCATCGTCCATCAATGCCAAATGATTAGAGCATACAAGCTTCTAGACTTCCGATTCTCGGTAACCGTACAATCTAGAAGCCACCAGGATGGCAGGCCTAGAGAAGAGCAGGCCTATCCCTATCATCTCTTGGACCCAAGCAAAAATCTTCCAATTGTCACAGAAGCCTGGATGGAATTGCTGCCATTAGAACATCCTTTAAGTCAGGAGGAACAAAGTCTCACCTCCTAAACACCAATTGGAGAGAGATTTTTTCCCCATTCCCTGGGCAAGTAAGTGCCACATCTAAACTCTAAAACCGTTTAGAATGAACTGGTAAATAAATCACCAGATGCCTGCTTACCCAGACAAAATATGCTGATGGTAGAGAAAAGGTGAAAGGCTTGGAGTTTTCATTTATCTAGAAAGCTTCAGATAATTCCAGGGGAGATGGAAGCTCCAAGAGCCACAAAGGTTGTGTGGAGTCAAGTAAAGAGAGATTCCCATGAATTGCAGGATGTGGGGCCTCCCCAAAGCCCCCCCCCACTGTGCTTCTGGGGCCTCCCATCAGATACATCTGAAGAAGATATTCCACACCATAGTCATCCGCCCTCTTCAGATTGCACACAGGCCCAACCGGGGGCGGGGGGGGGGGCTGGCTGTGCACGGAAGACCACCAAGGAAAAGAAAGATGCTTCCTTCCCACTCCCATTGTCTCAGGGATGCAGGAGCCCCAGGAAGTCTTGCCTGCTCCGTTTCTCTACCATCTAATCCTGGTGCCCAGAAGGCCACTCATGCCCCTCCACCTTCCCCCTTTGGCAGTGGCTGGACGGTGGGCTGCTCACAGAGCCCCAGGCGCTGCTGCTTCCAGATTCAGCCACAGACATGATATTCTTCAGTGATGACAAGGGAGCCAGCAAAAGAGACACCGCTTCTCCCTTGACTCCTACATTTATGCCACGCTCGGAGAGAGCCATCCCAGGACTACGAGCGATTGTGCCATCTGCGGTGGACCATGGAACCTTATATCACTGGAAACAGATCCCTGGTTTCTTCTCGGAGGCCTGGAATGGCCTCTTCTGGACATTATCCCTATGTTTAAAGTTGTGCAACTTAATGCCAATCTAAGGAATGCAGCTTGAGGCACAACTAGAGAGAAGAAAAGCACTGTAGTAACCAAGGTGGAATTAAAATGAAGTCCAGACCTGGCCAGTGAATTTCTTCTTGGGTTTGGGCTTCACAAAGGTCTTCACAGCAAGGATGAACCATCTGAGATGAAAATGTCTGACACCTACAGCCCAGTGAGGAGACGGCTGACTGGGCTATTTATGCCTGTCTCGTTCGGGGAATGTTTTGGCCTCACTTGCCCTCTGTCTCCAAAGGGCAACAGACAGGTGATAGCTTCCTTCCCAATTGTGGCTGCTCTTCCTTGTCTGCCTGCATGGCAGCTTCCAGGAGGAACTGCAGAGGCTCCCACAGACTCTGGTGGCTGAAGAAAAGGAGAGGAGGCAAAGGCTGCTGGGCCATTAAGGAATCCACCTTGTGGACTTAAGCTGCAATCAGTGCACAAAGGCAGCCTTTTCAAACAGAATGCATTGGTACAATCTTTTCACCAGGATGATGGCTCTGGATTGTTGACGTTGGTCATCCTGAATTCATTCTACATATGACCAATGTCCATTTGGCTTGTGTCTTTCCTCGCCTGGAAGCCCTCACTTTCAAAGCTGCCTTTGGAAGAGCTCTTTGGCCCGGCCTTGGCCAGTGGCTAGAGGCAAGGGGGCTGGGCTGGCTGGATCTTCTCCTCCTCCTCCTGAATGGTGAGCAGGTGCTCTAGAACCCCCTTTCTCTGATGCAATCAGAAATCCATGCCCCTTATTTTTACATAGATGGTTTCTCTATTTGTAATTGAAGTGAGAAATTCTTGTCCACGTCATAGTTGTTTTGTCCCAGCAATAGCTGCACCACTACAGATGTTGGTATAAATCTTTAACAAGGGAAGAGGGATGGACACTTCAACTGTGTCCAGTCTTTGGTCTTCCCAACTGGAGGGCTGGACAATCTTCCCACAGGAAGGCTCAGACAAGACTGGAGGAAGCAGCTGGTTCCCAGCCCAAGCAAAGCCTCTGCAGTCGGTCTCTGGTTGGGATTCCTTGTTGCTTTGTGCTGCCTCTTGTGAACGTTTCCCGGAGGGGGGAGAGAGAGAGACACATGGCTGGGCCAGGAAGAGAGGATGTTTCCACTGGGGCAAAAGAGGAGGGGAAGGGGAAGGAGGGGGGTTGGTTTATGGACAGAGGCTTGCTCTGATCTTCCATGCAGCTTTGGGGTGCTGGGCGCAAATTTTGGGGCTTTCTGGGACGGCTGTGGAAGTGGCAGGCTGGGTAACCCCCATCCTGGTACAGAAAAATCATCATGCTTAAAATAAAAATAGGAGCAGCCTGTTTTCAAGATAAGGTTGGGACGCGAAGGAAGGAAGGAAGGAAGGAAGGAAGGAAGGAAGGAAGGAAGGAAGGAAGGAA